AACAAAGAATTTTGTGATGAAAAACCAAAATCCGGTAGCAACGACTAAGCGCGCTAGGTGTTTTAAGATTCTGTCACGCTTCCCACTACAGTAGACGAAACTTGTCAGCAGGATAAATGGAAAAGCCACTATTAATGTCCAAAGCCAGCCAAGTTTGACAAAGTAGAGATTGAGAAAGTTGTCAGATCTTGAAAAAAAAGTTTTAGGGATAGGCATTTGTTTACCGATCACTGATATGAGGAATAGGGCTAAGGCATATCCTCTGAGGACGTTTGTAGGGGTGAACATAACTTTCTTGCAGCCAAATAACAAGACCATGAGAAATATTTTCTTCACTGAAGAAGGATCAGGAAGCGGTTTAGTGCCTTTTGTTTCCCATTTGGAGGATGAGAGATTACTCGGCCGGAAGTTAGAATGAATCGGAGTTCTTTTGGATGCCATCTCACATTTCGTTGATAACACTTCACAAAACACAGAGCCACTGGTGGTTTATTTCAAAGTTTGGAGGATACTAGCGAATAATGACTGGGTGAATAAATTACATTTTTATTTCTTGCAAAATAAGACTAATCTTGAGAGATTTGGTAATTGGTCACGGGGGAGACTTCGAAAGTCGAAAATTTGCATTAGTGTTGCGTGTTTTTGAGGTTATGTTTTGATTGTTTTGTTGATTGTTGCTGCGTGGAGTCGTAATTGACGCAATAACCAAGAACCCTTTCAATTGGTTGAGGGGGTATCGCGGCAAAAACGGTACAGCTTTGAATAAAAAGAAACAGGAACGATTTCTGGGATTCCATTTTTAGGTACTCTGCATCTAACATCTCGCAGATTTTTTTGGATTACTGTGCAAGTATTTTTCAAACATCTACAACTACAAACACCCATACTAAGCCGGTTAAAAATAAATATCTCATCAATCCTTGGTCGGAAATTTGACGGGGGAGGCTTTAGGACCCACCCTCCTGTCTATGAAAAATCGTTTAGCAGAGAAATACTGAAAATCGATATATTCCCAAAATCAGATTTTCCTCTTCTTTTCTTCTTCTTTTGTATACTTCCCTACATAATAATAGCAAGTACCTACCACCTCAATGGCCCCTCGCCTGGCTAAATCACATATTAATTCGAAGAAAATCAATATTGACACTTATCGAAGTGTTGAAAATTCCTGGCGCAGGTGGGTTAGCATGGTTGACAGGTGTCTATCGATCAGGAAGGGCGTTAACCGCTCATATTTAAGTATACCCGGCGGTTTTTAAGTCATGGGGGTTCTTGCTCTTACAGTTTTGTTGGGATCGAACAAGTAGTTTTTAACCGTTATGGGTCACTGGTTGAGCGGCTGTCCAACAAAAGCGCAACACGGACTCTCAGTCTTATCCATCGCGAAGCAGAGCCTAATTTATTAATATACACCTCTCGGAAGTAAGACCTCTTCCAACCGATTCTGTTGTCAGCCTTCATCGATTCCACGTTGAAGCCTCGTGAATTATTAAGGAGCTCATCACGCTTGAAAGGCCCGGCCGCGCGCCACGTGCGCCTGATGCCTAATCACTTGGGAATCGCGAAAAAATCAATTTTTATGCGATCGGTAACGACGGGTAAACGGCTCGAGGTGAGTCCGGGAGAACCCGGAGAACTGAATGAAATTGAAGCGACTGGAAGTTTCGTCTGAAGCAGAGGCAGGGAAATAGCGCGCATTGATGAAGGCGCAGAGATACAACTATTCGTGCTTGATGGATGTTCGTGTTGCGTCTGTAAACTTGAAGGCGCTTTAGCGTGAGGCGCGAACTAGCAATGCCCCGCGCTCTAGGTTGGCGTCGCCTTCATCATGTAATTTTGAGTCGTCTTGTCTTGTATTCTGCCATGCAGAGAAAGAGCGCCGTATGAACATTCGAGAGTTGTCAAACTGCCTTCATTAAAATGTTTATTTTTGAGGAAATTTATGAATATTTTTGCCTGAAATTTTCAGGCACTTTGGGTGACATCGCGAACAAAATTATCTGAAAAATTGGAAGTAAAATGGACTACATTTTGCAATTTGGAACTATAAATTCTAGCCCGGTTTAAAAACGACGTATAAGTGCCATTAGGTAGTTTCTTTTTTCAGAAGAGCCAGAATTTATATTTCCAAATCGCAATATGCAGTCCAAATATTCATAAGTATGCCAGGAAATTCGTGTTTTATCAAAGGAAATTAGGCAACGTGCGAAAGGCTCATTCGGCGTTTTTCCTTAGCACGGCAGTATTTTTGTAGCAGGTTGAATGGCAATCATTAGAATACTTTATAGACCTTTTTAAATTTTTATGTAATACAAAATATATTACACATAATTTCACGCGAGCACAAGTACAACTAGAGTACCTACGTATGTATCGTGATGAAAGAAAAACACTTACTGACATGTTAAAGTTTTTATTCATAATTTATTTCTCAAAATAGAACCAGCCATCACTCTAACAGCACATCTTTAAGGAGTGTTAACTTTAATTAGAAGTAGGCATGACGCATTGACGTGGCATATCGATGATGAAACTACCAGATCACATATCTCGGTTTGCAACGTTGCGGTTTCAGGACATTTTGTCAACGATTTTTTGTCCAGTAGTTTACGCCCACACGTAAAATAAGCAACAGTGACTTGGTCCAAGCATTATATTTTGGTCGGTATGTAAAATTATATTGACATTATGGAAATGAAAAATTGGGAGAGAAGGAGGTGTTGTTATGGTTGCTCATTTTCCAAATGAAATGTTATTACTTTCTCCTTTTGAATCATCTTTTTAAATTGTCCTTGGTGAATATTCGGTTTTATTTCTATCCTTAAAATATTGAATGTACAATACCTTATATGCGTATAGTTACTTTTTTTTATTTTTATATTTTCTTTACGAAATTATCACTTCATTTTGAAAACATTTATATTTTTAAAACGCGACAAATATTCGTAAAACCTTTTCCAAGCGACATTAATCTCAATGAGTCGCAGTTGTGCCGACGGAAACTGCAAAAATGAATAAAAGAGGTAAAAAAAACCAAGAAGCACGCAATCTTAAGTTTTAACCCATTTGTACATCGATCTGTTAGAGTCAATTACGTCAAATTTTGAGCGTTTTGTTCCGCGCACACCTCGATGCAGCACAATAAAAGCACAAAATGTAAAAGAAAAAATTAAAGTGCTTTGGAAATCATTAAATTTGACACGGAACCACCAATATTTAAAAAACACACATTCTATTATTATTCTCCTTTGATAAATTGATACATATTTTTCCCCCATCAATTTAAATGAGAATAATCAATGGAAAGTGTGCAAACATTTCAAAATCATGAGTTAAAAAACGCTGACTATGCGAGTATAAATATTAAAGCCTAACAGAGCGGAGCAGCGTGCTGCCAGCGCGAGAGGCTCACTGGCGCCTACAAACCTAAGTGGATACTTCACGCATTGCGCAATGCTTGAAGTATCCACTTAGGTTTGTAGGCGCCAATGCACGTTTCGTGCTGGCCGCCCGCCCGTCGTGCGACGGCGCCTGTAGCAACTATTCCACAACAGAGGCGTTGCTCAGTAATATACGAAATTGAACGTATTAAGAATGACAGGCATCCTTTAAAAGTACAGATCTTTCCTCGCAAAATAAATCAAGATACTTATCGTACACAGGAAAAATCTAAGAGCCTTTAGCTGAGGCAAATATAGAGGTTTATCCGGTTCAGGTATAACAAGGTAGGAATTTCTTGAAAGATAATTAAGTCCTGTTACACCAAAGAGGTGTAGAGAGTTTTAGTGAATTTTGTCTCGTGGAATGGAGGCTCCCCCATTTTTACTGAAACTCTCAACTATATATTATTCTCCGTCGGACCAAACAGACAAAACAAAAAAACAAGCAAATCCTCATTCTTCCAAGACATTTTATATTTTCATCCAAAAACGTCGTGAGCAATTGTCGTTTGTATTTACATGTGGGCCAATTAACTTTGGGTCTCAACTGGCACGTGGACCAAAACTCCCGTGCCGAAAAAACGCGTGGACGTAAATTACTGGAAAATCAAGTGCGCGGACAAAAAATCGTTGACGAAATGTCCTATGACCGACGTTAGAGACTTCCTGTCATACTTTATGCTTTAAATCGAACTCAACGTCAGTTCAACTTCCGTGTTATTTCTTCTCTGTGCTAAGAAAACTCACGATCAGTGACAATTTAAAGGAATGTTATTGAGTTGTTTTCCCTAAAAAAATAAAATGGGAGTGGAGATTATTAAACCCTGCAAACGAGATACGTGGTCCAGTAGTTTCACAGATATGCGATGAATATGGACCCTGAGGTCTTCCACGTTAATTGAAAGGTATCGACAAGGTCCGATTTATGGCCTACCCTGAAATTCTTCAACTCTACAATTTTTTGCTCTTTGAAGGCCTATATTCTTGGAAATACATAATGATTTGGCCATTTCTAGTCTCTTTATCGTCGCGAGTTTGCGGTCGAATGCCTAAAAATCTGCATTTTTCGCCCTAATCGGCCTCAAGCCCATAGTCAAGCCAGTATTAGACCTGAAAAGAGACCTGCTGAAATGACCAAAACCACCTAGTGGGACACACAAGAAAAAAAGTAAATAAATAAAACCAAAATGATGTATTTCGTAAAATTTAGACCCTCAATGATCAAAAGAGCATAGCTGATTTGAGGAAATTCAGGCAGCGCCTAGAAACGGTCCTTATCAATACCCCGTTCTTCACACTCTCTTTCGATATAATACTCTTCAGATCGAGCATACTCTCACCAATTAAAATCAGACTATTATCTACATGGTCGCGTATTTTGAGCAAACTCAACCTCAACTTATTTCAAATTTCAAAAATAAGAGACACGTCAACGAGCGTTGTTGACGGCGCAGAGATACAACTATTCGTGCTCGATGGATGTCCGTGTTGCATATAAGCA